AGCCCAACAACGAGTATAGTGGCAGCACGTTGTACACGCTCCAGCTTAGCCAGTTCACCGGCCGTGCAGGGGTATGTCGCCGCACCACCGTACTCAAATCTTGTTATTATTACGCGTCGCCTTCATTATGCTCCTATCTATCATATGGTGGTCCAGCGGTAAATACCAACATCTTATCCCGGGGTTCGAATCTCTACATCACCGCTTAGCTGTTCTACGTGTCAAAGAAACCTTTGATCGACAGCTTTCTCTTTCCTAAGGTTTTATTATCATTGTACAACATTTTTCTTTCGTTTAGGTTGCTCTGAAAGATATGAATGCATTCAACACAAAAGCTATTGGTCAGTGCATTTCGATTCAGCTTACCAAGCTTGCCGATGGTGGTTTGGGATTTACCCTCACTCGAAGAGACACAAAAACAAGTGCCGAAAGCAGTGATCCAGTCTATGTAAAGAAAATCCTTCCCACAGGAGCTGCCATTCAAGACGGTCGATTACAGGTGTGTAATTCTCATCGATTTATTTTCTAATTTTGTAATAATGATATTGCACAGAATAATCGTACTTTCTTTGCATTTACATTTTGTCTATATTTTTGTTGACTTCTGGTTGGATTTGCTGGCAAAATACCGTGAAAACTGTAATCAAGCTGTTGGGTTTATTTGAGCTGGACTTGACCAATGGATATTATTCCAAATGCTGTTAGATGTATTTTTACAAATACTTCATCGTCATCTTTCGTTAGAGGATGCAATTCAACTCGGATTGATCACATAGTTAGTTATCCATTCAGTTGTATATGTGCATATTCAAATCCTCATGTTACGAATCTGTTATATATTATTATTGTTATTACTATGTCTTCTGCTTTTTGTTTGGATCATTTTTTACTTCAGGGGATACTCCCTCTTTTAATCCAATAATTCATACTCTCTTACCCATGTAGATCGGTGATCGCCTGCTCTCGGTCGATGGGGTTGATGTATCTAATATGGACCAAGTGCTTGCGCAATTACGTGCTGTGACCCCCGGACGGATTGTCAAACTGGTGATCTCACGACAAGCCGCGGCACTCGCAGATGATACAGTCTCCGGTCGTAAATCCGGAGTTCAATCAGTCTCCAACTCTATGGAAGACCCGGATTTGAATTCGGTGGATTTACCACCCAGGGTAGGTTTTTCATCTCCTATCCTGACCAGCACTTGTAGTTTTCCACGCTCACGTACCGTTTTCTGATTCCACTATCTGTCTCTCTCCACCCCCGTTAGATTGTATCACTATCCCAACTAGCATAACATGCTCTGTGACCTCAAAAGCGAGCCTTAGCCTTTTTTGCGAATGGATTTTCACTTGTTTATTGTTTTTTTTATCCAACTTACGAAATAATTGTGTATTTGGTTGTCGTCTCCTCCTACTAAAATTAGGAAAGGCCACCTAAATCGGCAGGTAGTCAGACTGCAGGTTAATTTGGTAGTTAGTTATATTCTTTTTCAACTAGTTTATGAAGGATTTTAAGTATAATTTTAATGTTTCCTAGATTTAATGTAAAAATGTGTCTGAAGTTTAGCAGAGCAACCTGGCACTCTACTCTTTAATCAAACTTATTTGTAGAGTCGGTAAGAACTATTTATCACTGTTTAGAACTGAATTAATGTTTCGATCACGCACTTTCACTCCTAAAATGGAGAAGTTCAGGTTCAGTTAAGCACCCATTTTCTGCTAGTTCCCCGCTCCATTTCAATTTTTGACTGTCGAATAAATAATCTTGCTGGGTTCCGTCCAAAATGACGCTCAGTACCTCGAATTGGATTGGGAAATCGGCCATCGATTGGTTGACCGACTTTTCAGCTTTTGTCGCGTGATTTCACACCTTACATTCCAACGTATGTGAAGCTGCGTGCAGCAGTGGAAGAATCCCGTATCATGTGACATTTTACTCAAGGAATTGTATGTATCACTGTCTTTTAGTTCAGTTCAGTTGTTACAACCATTAACCATGCACTTTCATGCACCGGTTTTGGTTGCTGTCTTTTGGTTACCCATTTGGATAAAAGAGCGAAATGAAGATTGAAATGTCGAAGCAAATTCAACACGAACCTGTGGGACGAGAAAAGCATGAGCTTGCAAGTTATTCCCATAATGAATCTTTGATCTTTGAAGAAACGCGGCAAATAGACACATTTATATAGTGCAATGCTTATACCCGTCCTTGATTGGGCGAGGATTAGCCTGCGCACTACTTCTTTAATTAGTCCTTAAGGGTCGGTCTCTTAGCCGGTATCATTTCAACACAAAATTTTACGAATCTGTAAAGCATTGTCTTTCATGGGATGAAGAGATGTGATGGTCCTCGTTCCGGTTGGCTTTATATGGGGGAACTACTGGGTACCTGTTCTTTTCCGTTGTGAGTTGTCATACTGTCATTCATCTATGATCTCTTCATATCAAGTTATTTGGCTCCAACCTGTAGTGCTTTTCACGTGACTACTATATGGCAGTCACGCACAGTTTGTATCTGTCACGTGCATGCCCTTCACTCCTTGTATTTTTTATACAATCTATCTCCTATACCAAGCAGTACACTTCACGGAGTAATTTCAAAGCATCCCAGACGCTCTATGTAACTACTGTTTTTGCTAGTTAGATGTATGCGAATTTCAAGAACACGTGATTTCGTTATTGCGTGCGACCATACACAGACAGAAGCAAACATCCGTATGAAATCTGAGCACCACCAACCTCGTGATGTGATTGCGGCCCCCTATTTTCCTCACAGTTTTGATCCATCTAATGTAATCACAGGCTAAAGAATCATACTATTTTAGGGCTTAGTTCAGTGCTCATTGGCCGTGTGTCTGAAATCACAATTTAACACAGCTTTATTTTCTTTCAGTGTGCACCTGTTGTACGCTGTTTGACCCTACCAGACTGTGTTCATTCAACCTGTCTTTTTACTCATTCATCGGCTCTCACGTTGGACAGCATAACATTTTGGTGGGAATGCTGACTGATGTGACCTGCTGCTGCCTCTTCACACAGCTCGTTCCGGTGTCAGATAAGTCTGTATATCCACAGCTTGTTCTCAATTTCGGTGACCCTTTTTTGTCATGATCGAGATCCCCGCTGATTTGTCCTCGTAGCTCTGCTTGCAGAGCGTACGTCGTCCAAGGACGCTGTTAGCGTTCGTATGTGGGTTTGAACCTTACTCATGCGTTCTGATCGTTTTCACACATCGAGCACGACTCTATTTTATCTGATTGGGGGCCAAAATGAGTTGTTTGAACAATAGGACAATTTCTGTAACTGTTTTCTCGGATGTCGTATTGAAACCGCACATAATTCTGTGATAGTGAATTGGTTTCTTGTTCAACATTAGGATGAAGAATAGATCAAGTTCAGGATTTACGAAACTAGGGGGTATCAACTGAGCCTTGGTCGGAATAGGTATACTGTTTTACGCACGTTGTCACTATTACACATGCAAACTGTTTTTATCAAGTAAAGCATTGAATTTAGTAATTCCTACCTGTTTGATTTTTCAAGAGCAGGAACGTTAGTCTGTGATTCAACCCACCAATTGGTTACTTAAAATGTACCGTGTACGTCGTATCACGTTTGTGATGACTCATGTTCGTTCCTTTTACGTCATATCAAGAATGAAAAGATCTCGATGTACAAAATTATTGGTGTTCTGTCGTTCATTTTCTATTCCCCCATTCAGCCTTTTCGGTCATTCACTTACGAGTTTCGCTTGCCACGAAAATCGACTGGTACTTTGATCAAGCCCACATTGGGTGTCAATTTCAAATGGGGCACTGCTCCACCGGATTCGGATAACTCCACTTCTCCTATTTATGCCCCACTTCCCGGGCTCTACGTTGAGAGTTTACTTCCAGAAGGCTTAGTCATGCAAGCTGGGCGACCCACGTTATTACCAGGAGACCGATTAGTTGGACTGAATGGCGAAAACTTGGACGGACTGAGCGCTAAAGTAGGTCACCATTTTTTATGGGTCACTGTAGGAGTGTTGTCAAATAAGCTAACAAACCACATTTGTAGTCCAGTTCTTCGAGCTGCAGTTTTTTTAACTCACGAGATTGTTTACCTCGAATCAAATCTGATATTCTTTTTCATCTCTAAGAGTGAGTACTTAGTAATGACAGTTATTTGGGTGCTAAAGGCAAACACTAACTGCATCAACTAAACACGTTCAACAACCACCAGTTGCAGTCAGGGTGTTATGAGTACGATAATGTTCAAGTAGCGAGTGAGGTGTGATCATCTGAAGGTGTTCATACAGGTGATTTATACCATTAAGAATGAGCTGTCAGGTTTCGACTCTTGAAGAAGCGGATGTTTGTATTTTACAGAGTTTCACTATGGTTTGGTTCAATACCACCTCTATCCCGCCGCGAGATTAGGTGGTTGGCCACTCCCAGTCCTTGAAAAGCTTAAACTGTCGGCTAGTGTAAGTGAACAATAGGTCCTCTTGACAATGGATCCTACTTCCTGTAGTACTCACCCTGCCAAATGATATAATATAAAAAAATTGGTGTAGTCGACCCATAGTCCAAAGTGCTAATTTTTCTATTACTGGTAATGATTAGAATATGATCGACGTGTACCGCTTATAGAATTCATTTTTTTAAAACTATTTCGCTAGTTTTTTATTCAACGTGAATCATGAATAAATTTGCTGGCACGTGACTCATTGGATTCGCCATCGCGACAGTATCTATCTGTTTGCATGCTCCTGGAACGAGAATCATCCACTTTTCCAGTCGTTCGATATTCGTTGAATTAAGCACACCACATATGCGTTGTGGGAAAATACAGTGATTGCGGGGTTATTACAATTCAATTCTATGAATTTAGCATTCGCTTAACTTCCCAAAATTTCGTATTAGTTGAGTTGACGCGGGTTAGGCAACACGGAATTCATTAAGCGTATGCGACGGATAGTACAATGGCAAGAACACTTATTCACGATCAGTGCAAAGTTTCTGTCAAGCTCTGCTCAGCTGACGGTGCAGTCCAAAGGAAATGTGAGGTCACGGTCAAGGTCCGTGCTTGTGTTATCTCGCCGAATACCGCAGTGAATACAATCCTCAAGGTTGTGATTGCACGTCACGTGCAGGCAAACCTAAGTTCTTTTTTTTCTTTCTCCGGGTGACCATAGTAAATCGGTTTGCATTTCTACGAAAAAGGAACCAGAGATTTCTACGGAAAATACGACAATCAATCTGTACCATACTTTCCACAAATGAACTGTTCTATTTTTTCAAATTTTAGTGTTATTGTTGTTTAACACGTTGTTTCACAAGCAGTTTCTGGGAAGAGAAAAACAACCAGTCTGACGCACGACTTTTAGAGTAATCACCTCGTGATCGTAACCGATTGACCACCACAGAACTGTTCTTTTTGTCACATGAAATTGTAAGGAGATTTTGCCCAGGTCGACATGTCAGCTCATATTTCCGATGCCCCAAATCGCCTTTGGACTCCCCACTATATGCGATAAATCATAGACAGAGGAGACGAAACACACGCCAATACTGCATCCTCCCCAGCTTTTCATCATTTGTACATCCTCCTGGCTTGTTTGACAGATTGTTGCTCCTTCCTTCTGACAAAATTGGAGACACTCGAATATTTGCTCCGATTAACCACACAGAAGTCAGCTGTTCGAAGCGAACTTCAGACCGAACTTCCATTGTGACACTTCAGATTCACCAAATGTTAAGCGATGCAATTGATGAAATAGAATGAATCAAGAACTGCACATTCAGTATGGTTATGGTTTTGTGTCAAGATAGTTCGCGGAAGAGTGGTTTATAATTGAATCTCCGATCGTGTTCATTTTAGTCTCAACTATCAAACCTAACATCAACAATTCGAATAAAAAAATCAGTGATTTCATTTCATTTGCCTTTCTTCGATAGAAGTAACGCCGAAATATCATGGTATTTTTTATGGGACAAAACTGTAAAACAAGTATGTATTCACAGCATCTACGTCCTTGCATCAGTCGGCATTTCTTTTCAGAACAGGTTATTTTGATTTAGGAACGGGTTTTAATCACGAAAACTGATGATTTTGCGTGCTCTCGTTCACTTGTAAACGCACATTTATATGGTCATATCATTCCTCCTGTTTCTTTGTTTGACATAATCATATAAATGTGTGTCTACAGCTGAACGAGAGCCCGCAAAATGGATGGCCATATGTATTCTGCCCACATATTTCTTCTTGTGTTGATGAAATGGATTGAGGGAAAAGGATGTCCTACATAACAGATGATTTGTTTTAGGCGTTTTTAAATCAAACGCTGTCCCAAATGCTTGATGTTAATGTGCGAATAAATCTGGTAGTTGCATTTGAACACCAAATGGCACACAAAATCGTCTATGGTACTTTATTAATCAACCGAATACAGCAAAATATCATTAGAAATGGGTCAGGAAACGGCAAACAAATCATGAGATGTGTGTGGGGGGGGCGGAGGGAGAGTTTGGAATACGAATTCACACTGGTAAGTGACAGTCAAGTGATCAATGTTCTGATCTTGGCCATTCATGGTTTTTCGGTGTTCTTATTACGTAACCCGGTCGACAGCCGATGACTATGACAATTTTGAGGACTCTACTTTTTCAGCACACAACAGGGGGGGGGTATTTATTCGAATCGCGATCGTCCCCGCCATGGATAGTAGTCGACCTTTGACCTGATGGTGTAGATAGGCCGAGTTGATTCCATCAGATTAACCGAATGATTTTTCTCGGCGATGAGCGTAGCAATCACGGTAGCTCCGTTGCTAACCCGTCCGTTGCCAAGCCATTTAGTGTGTTAATCTTAGGTACGATCGGTCAGTGGTTCGACCCGTGAAACTTGATCCATCGGAGAGGACATAATTTGGCCTCCGTAACCCATTTTGTGTTCAACTAATATGTACTTGCTGTACTTGGTTAGTTAATGTAGCACAGAAAACGGGCTTGTTTTCCACTTTTTCATCCGACGTTACTCTGATTGCGAAGCTTTCTTTGCAAGATTAATGGAATTTCCACTTTCCTTCGAGCGGAAAATGAAACGGAACCATTATTTACTTCACAAAACGTCAAACACAAGCTGCCAAATCGGTATTCATTTGTGCACGTGGTTACGTGAGATTTTCGTTTTGTGGATGCAAAAACGCTTTCGTATAAATGTCACAAATATGTTGACTGCTTATTGACATGAAATATTCTTCCCAGCAGATATGATCTGGTGTAATCAGTTATCATTTGATGCATGCTTGTCGTCATGGCTATGAATTCATGAACTGTACGCGATATTGTCATTGGCAGACTATATTGCGAACGCATCTTATGGTGATACATTACTTCCTTTACAAACTATTAGCAACTTTTTTTATTTGTAATAATCACGTTTATTCAGTCAAATATAGTCGAACTGGTGCCCTAAACAGTCGGACCGCTTTGTTGCCGTGTTAATCGAGTGATGCATATAGTTTTCCTTTGTACTAAAGCGTCGGAACCCGTTAAGGCTTCGGTTATATCACAAGAACTTGCATGCCATGTCATAGTTACATCAATCGTCGTACATCTAAGTTGTCAGGCACTAACGATGCATACGCTACACTACTATCAGCTTGAAGGCCAGCGGGCTCCCGCTCCAAAAGTCTCGGAATCCTCGGTGTTGGCAGTTTATCACAAATTATTACTGTGACCATACGACTTGACAATCCGTGGTATCAATTGCCGGACAAATATTGCCTTACTTACCTGGAGACCAGTTTCTCCTAGGATTACAGTTGCGTGAACCTTTCTCTCGCCACAGCCCATGCTTTGTCTCTCCCAATCGACAACCGGTGAATTTCCTCCATAGGCTATATTCGTCAATGCCGGGTACTAGAATGTTCGAATTTGCAATAACAAATCATATGCGTCTTTTTTTAGTCCAGCACTGTGAGAATGGCGATTTATTGCTTAGCTTTGCCAATTGTAATCTATTATCCAGCCACTACACCCTAAAAAACATCTTCTGACGTGATATTTCAACGGTGTTTGCACAAACCATCATTACCTCTCATCGGTTCTCGCTGCATTACTTCAGATTAAAACACACGGTCCGGTCATGATACTGAAGTAACCAGATGTGAATGAGACTCCCGAGCTTTTGCACTTAAAGTGAATGCAAATTCCTCTTAACCACAGTACTGCTTGATGATGTCCATGTCAAAATTAACTTATAAAACTAGGGTTTGGATCCTTATCCACGGTGAAGAGTCACCCTCGTTCCAAATATTATCTGGAATGCTACAAGGATACTCATTATCGTCGTGTTTGTTCTACTTTGCTATTGATTGAACAATAGATCGCTTCATGGGGGATAGCAAGAAGTTCAGCTTACTCAGGACTTCTGGCTCATTATTAAGTATTTGCTGACGAATGTCCTTCTTCGGTCACAATGTAGGTGAGCTCCAAGGAATTGTCAATCACGTCGCCTGGTAAGTATCTAAAATAGGTCGGGTTTTAAATGCGTCCAAATCCAAATTGTGTTACACAAAACCCGGACACACTTCGGTCAAATTATGAGCCGATCGCGTCTGTCTAGAGCTTTAGGCACCTTGACTATACATATTTCCCAACCGCCAAGCCAAAGACGAACTTCAGCTTCGCCTTGATAGTGCTAAAAGGATGATTCTGCAGTTGGAGGAAGGGGTTGTGGAATAAAAATGGAATCAGCCTGAAGACCAAAGTACGAGTAGCTTCTGAAGACTGTCCACCGGTGGATTTATTCTACTAATGCCTGGCTAAAACCATCCTAGCATTGCCTGAACTGTCACTATTGCTGTGGTGGACACCGTACATTAATGTTCGCAGTACCTCAGTCTTCGGCAGTTTTACGGTACTGTCCGCTCGGAAACAGACTGAATCTGCGGTTTTCACACCGCCTCACTTCCTTGCCGAAGGCTCCGGTTGTGGATTCCCCGAGAAAATCCACCTTCCTTGGTCTGGGCAAACTGGTAATAATCAGCCCACATGCAAATCGTGGAATGTTTTTCTTTTTTATAAAGATTATTGTACCGCGATTTGTTTGTCACACTCTGAACTCAGACTATATAAGTTACCTCTGAAGGTGTACCAATTAAGTACGCTTATGAAAGATACTTTTGACATGGCAAAACAATTAAACCAACTAAACATCGCTGAGAAGCACATGGCCTCGCTGAACGTGCAATCAATATTTACCAATTTTTCTGTTCGTAAAGTTATTCAAATAATTTGTGATCAAATCAAACCGGAGCAAGTATGAACTGGTTTACCAGCCTGTATAATCAGTGTTGTCTGTCATAGGCACCAGTTCAAATACAGTGAAATCGTCCGGGACATAAAAACCGTGCTATCTTGCTATACTGGCTTCTGTTTTAAAATTTATCACCGGAGAAGCTTGTTTCCTTATCGAAACCCTCTATCCCATTACTCCAAACAGGGAGTAAATATATTATACATTCCGGAGTAACTGTAATAACTTGAAAAATATACAGGTAATTTGCCTCTATGCATTTAACCCACAAATGTAATGTGGTGCACTACACTGAGCTTATCGTAATTCAAAGGTAACCATGCAAGATGTGTTGCCTCCTCCGTTCACGATGTGTTTCACCTTTATTCGTTCTTCAGGGTTTGAATCACCTCCAAGAACTTGCTGTATTCATGACTCTGTTCTATCTGTCTTCTCGAACAGAATGTTTTATCTATCTCTTCTCGATCCGTTTTACCACATGCTATACTCTTACTTTGTTCTCATCCAAGGCACGGTTTTTGACCCGACGAATAACCTTGATAATTCTCAGACTGTCTGTTGGTATGCAGTTTTTACTTTTGGGCATTAGAAAAGTCTTAACATGATCAGTAAACCTAGCCCATGCAACCACGCGGAACTATTTAGAGTTGACTCACAATGTATATTCTAAGTATTTTAGTCAATCCTAGTTTGGTCCAAAACAGAAAACGAAACTAGAATTTATTGAAGATGGTGCCACTTATCTCTTAACTGCAAGGTAAAATCCAACAGAATCCTTAATGGTTAAAGACCAGGGAGATAGTATCATTCAGCTGTTCATGGACGTTCCCATTCTATTCTCGAGTGGAATGATTTGACGATTACCACAACTGGAACCGTTGGAAGGATCCATTATACTGCAATCAACAATTTGCTGCAAATCCACAAACTGTTCTTTTGTGGCTCGCTTTTCCAATAATGAGAAGTTCATTGCAGATCGATTCACATTAATTTCTGTGTAAACCTGTTGATGTTTCTTTTTGCTTTGGCAACCCTGGGGCCCTCGCGAAGGAAACAATGACCTGAGGGTTTGTTACTACGTTCACTTGTCCATATGGTTAATGGCTTCGTGTTGCATTTCGGGAGCGAACTGTACGTCCCGATGCGACCATTGGCCCTGGGCGCGTTGCACGTGCGCTTGTATCTCATCCCCTGTCCATTTTTTCGCATGAAATGAAGTGAATTTTATCCCGATCTCCTCAGTTTGTTCTACCCAGGGTCTTGTGTTGCAATTCATTCGGTTTACTTGCTTTTCCCCTCCGTTCGTTCGTGTCTTGTTCTATTGTGAATACAATTGTCTGCTATTGCATCCGAGTTCCACTTTCACAACTAATTTGTTTTCTTGTGGTAATCTTTAATCCGAACTTCGTCCTGTCAAACTACCTACCAGTGCACGTATCGCTTCGTCTGTCTCTATGTTTTTCCTCGTTTGCTTCCGTCCTCATTCGGAATATTTCGGCCGACTCTTGTCGGCTCTATGCACGTTCGTGCTCCTCGTTGAATTTGATTTTGAGCTTTCGCTTTTAATGAAATACATGATTGGTGGCGTGCATGTTATTTTTTTGTTCATTTGTTCGTTTATTCATCTCGCCTGATGCATTGCTACTTGCTTGAGCTATTCTAGCCTCTGATGAGTACCCCCAACTGATCCCCATCTCGTATATTTTCACCCGCCCTCGATACCGAAAAAGGAAATCAGCACGAAAATTCGAAAAGTGCTCAACAGTGTGGATGAACAGGATCCGGAGGGAAAACAATCGGGATCTGTGCCCTCTCCGAGGCCATTCAGTTTGACGGTACATCGGTATCACGGACTTCAACGACAGAGTACGGACAGTATGCCACGTGCTTCCCTGCGGTACGTTCCCTTGTGGTTATGACAATGCCCCTTACGATTTTTAATCGCAATTAATTCTGTACACACTTGGTTTTGGGTTTTTGTGTTCCCTCAAATTCGATTACAACCAGGTCTTTTTTATCGAATCAGTGTTCATCGTTTGTTCAGTGTTGTTCAAGCGGATATCTTTAGGTGTTATTCATTGAACAGATTTTTATTGATGCAGTCTGCTGTTTTACGGAAGTCTCATACCCTGTCATCTCTCCATTTTATCCATGGACGTTGATTTACATCCTCATGATAAATTAATTTTTACACTACAGATTTTTCTGTAATGTATGTCCTCACGTAATAAGTCATATGTAATATAAATTTAGTTTCATCTGTTTCACGTATATCTTTTTTTTCACAGCCTTGTGTGATGGGCCGCAGCCGGGGGCGAGCCCTCATAGGTACGGTGACCCGCTGCTCACCCATACAAACCGGATTTGCATACCCCATGATTAGGTATGACGAATCACACAAAGTTAGGTTTGGTAGTTTGTTGTATAACAGCAAAGCTGCCTACCACCAATTTTTGTTGGTTGTGACGGGACTCTGACCCTAGGGTTCAAAGAACTCCCTTGACCGGGAGTTCAACCGCTTGACCACCACCACCACCCAACAGGGCAGATAAAATTTAGTACGCTTTTTTATACACTTCATTGCGAGTATTGCTCGAAATTTGTATCCCATGATCTTAAGAACTTGCTCTTCGGTCAGTGTATCATACCTATACGTGGAAGACAGGCTGAAGCACAAGGTGTGCTCGCTGCCCACCACCGAACGTGGTGGTTAGTCATAATTATGGTTATCTAAGAAGTTGGCTTATTCTGTCGCTCAAAAGTCAGCCACCGTAAAGGGATGTGCGTTGATCCTACTCGATGTGCATAGCTTCCGCTGAGGGTTTGCCAAATAAAAATGTTTATCCCATTACTCCAGACAAAAATTATTGTTTTAGGAGACCTAGGACCTCGGATACTGAGTGACGAACCGTGTGAAAAAGGATCCTGATGGGATTGAGCCAGATTGAAGACAGTCTGTTTACCTCGGAAGCTAGCTATATACTTGATGAATTTAACGATTAGCCATCGCCAACAATAGCGCACAGTTGTCGTTAACGTCTTGACGTTGTTAACCCTAATCAGCATTCTTCGCTTGGATTTTGTAGGCTGAACGAAGCTCAAATCAAACACATGCTAACAAAAAATCTTTTTGCACTCNCTCCATGTTATTTTTTGTATGTGGAAGATCACGTGTTTCAGATTTTCTGATAGATCCAGAAAAGGTGCTATCAGTGTGCTACGGTTTCTGTTTTGCCCTACTGACCAGAAAAAACACTCATTCGGCTAATACTCTTCGGGTGGTGGTGGATAGGTCATCCACTTATCGTCTCGGAGGAAGTGTGTTCGAATCCGTCCACAGCCACTTATCCTTCCCCATTTACTATGTACTATTTGACAGCCTTCTAATTTAACGCTTCTCTCGTCCTGGAGGTTGTCTGTTTGCGTGGTGGAATAGCGTATAAAGTCCCTGTGACCGGTATGCTTTGACCCCTCTGGTCCGAGGTTCGAGTCCCATCACCTAACTGGTGGTAGGCAGCTTCGCTATCATCCGGCTCAATACCACATCTAATCTAGTGGGGTCTTCTGCTGTTCACTACTCCAAGGTGTATAATAAAAAAATCATTATCTATTTAGTGAATCGCTTCTTTGACTTAACTTGACTTGACAATGAAAGACGGTAAAATGAAACGAAAAGAAAAGAAGTCAGTTCGACAAATAATCTCGCTTCCGGTGCATCATTTACTAGCCCAATACAGCATTGCTTTATAGGTCACAAAATCACATAAGGAAACAGAAAAAAATTAATCATGTCTGTTTACGGCTAATATCGATAATTTAGTCTGGGATGCCTGAGAGTTCAAATCATTCTACGAATATGATTTGAAAAGAAAAGGGTAAAACCCTTAATCCTGAAATGAACCACAAATAGCAGTAAAACTGTTAGTGGTTCTTTCTGTTAGTCTGCTTCAACATTGTTGTGCACAGTCCAAGTTAACTAGTCCATCATAAGAATTTCAACCATTTCCTACCCCGCCATTCCTTTCAATTGTGATCTTTGCTCGAGTCGATGAAGGAGTAATAGAATTCAGGATGCACAGTGATTCGTAGTTCTGTATATTGCACTATCTTTCTGTATGCGACCAACTGACTAGTTTAACATACGTGCGCTTCGCATGTTTGTAACGGGGCTTATTCATTGATTTGGTAAAATGTTTATGACTGTCTTCTGGGATCGACACATTGAACGAAATGAACAGGGAAACAAACGAAACGGAGAATTCCCTGTGGAGTAACCGTTTTCGATTAGTGTTCTTCAAACTGCACGTTTGAACTGTCTTTAAACCTTGCTAACCTCGCCAGCTTTCCGTTTTGGTTAAAGGTCTATATTAATTAGGATGAGGTTTAATGTTGATTTGGAAATTTCAACATTTGACAGATTTTAGTGGAAATGTTTGTGATTACCAACAAAGACCACTGGACAGCTGTTTCGTCCTGTTTAGGACTCGTCAGCGGTGCGTACTTTATGTGTCCCTATCAGGACTGGAACCGAGATTAGTCGGGTCAGGACTTCAAGCCCTTACACCTGAGCTACACGGCTGATGCTCATCACCTTGTGCAGCTGTCCAGTGCTCTTTGTTGGTTATCACAAACATTTCCATCGCATTTGAATGCATTGTCTCGTGGAGAATCAACGATCTCCCAAATAGTGAAACCCACACCCAAGACCATCAAGAATGCCTGTTGCCTCTGAAAACTAGAATGGGTTGATCCAAGCTTGATACTCTGAATTAATAGATTTTCTTTGCCTTGGGCAATATTGCTTTACTACCACTAGTAATCCATTGATGCGACGAATCCACTCTTCTTTAGCCACATCGTCCATGGATGCTGTTTTCAACCGAGCGTTACCAGCGCAAACATTTAGGCAGTCTTTCAACGATCACAGCTATCCCCCGTAAGCTATGAATTCAGTTCATCCGTGTACTACGTTCTCTTTTCTGTGAGCATCAGATCATTGATGGAGATGTTCACCTCTTGCGCTGACCTAAACCAGCATCACAGCTCATCATAACCCAATCAGGTGGCACTTCCACCAAGGGAATGTTTACTAGCCTTTTTTCTGCCCACCTTCAGGATCTCTTGTTTTTTACGGATACTATTGCTGAAATGGCTCTTGCCTAGTATAAAAATCTGTTTCCTACTTACGTTAGTACAAATCCATCTCGACTTTGTTTAGTAAAGAAATTGCAGTACATAAGGTATCATTTTATTCTGTTCAAAACATGGCATGTTCTAAGGCTTGAAGAAATTTTGCGCAATGCACATAAATGTAACAAAGATAAGGGCGCCTCGCTCTTATGTGTGTCAGTGTGTGAGTGTATACAGGCAGCAAAAGGGCTTGCCAAGGCCAACCGGGTTGTTCATCATTCTGCCAGTGCTTAGTGTGTATCCGTCCTCCAACATCACTTTGACTGATTCATGCTTTACTGTTTGATGCATGATGCGTGCCTACGCAGTCTTCGAGACCATTCACGGTCGACATTCATTTTTCTGCCTTTTGCTCCTATTCATGGGTGTACACGCACTTGCGGCCACAGGGACATTGGATCAGTAACTCAGTTGATTCAGCGTTGACGAGCGATTCTGGTACGAGTGATGGCAGCATGTTTCGAAGAGCGCATCTTTTACGGATCATCATACTTTTTTTTATAACCGTGATTTAATTCTAGTGTTCAGAAGCATTCCGTCTATGTGTGTACATGCAACAGCGATCCGAACTTTTGATGGTGAATTACGTAATTAAACAGGTTCTTTGTACGTTTTACACAGCCACATGTTTTCGTAGTAGAGAATTTTTGCAATCATTCGTATGCGTCTTAGTATGTAACTAATTAGAATACTGAGCTGTTGATACTACATTCACCTAGATGATTTAAGTAGGCTCGGATTCTGTGCATTGGTACGGCGCTCGAGGTTTGATGAAACGAATCGTTTTTGTCTCTGGTTTTAGATGTATGAGCGCTCCGGAGTTACTCATAATTGCGTCATATTTGCGCATTTTTTGCCCGTCCTCTCGACACTCCCTTGATCTATCGATTTTCGACCTTCAATTTCAACGCACATCATGCGATACGGTTATCGTGGTTTGATCGACACAACAATCAGAATGGTTACTAATGCATATCCATAATTTAGTGTCTGTGAGAGAAGTAGATGCAAATAGGTCCTATTTGTTGTGGTGTACTAGTGAGCCCAATGTTTTCACCGTGTAAGACATGCGTTACCATGGTTACTGACTTATTACCAAAAAGCACATAGGCATGAGGTGCATATAGTTGTAGCGTCTTGCGAGTATATTATCATAGTTTGTTGAGCTTGAAAAATGCATATCAGCAGGTTTACAGTGCTTATTTTTCTTCATTGCGATATCTTCGCTGTTATTTTGCATGACCACTTTGGGGAAAATTGCACAAAAACTGAAGATTCTTGAATCGAATGACCAAAGAAGTTCCATTGCGTAGACTTCTTTCCTCGTTAATAAAGGAAACCGATCTATTGTGCATTTGTGGTTTTCAACATTCTGCATAGTACATTCATTGCATCCGATAGTCACATGAACCTCTTGCGACTAGACTCTACTGTCAGGTCATGTTTTACACTGCAACATAGCACGTCACATCAGTCAGTCCTCATTTAGCTAAGGGCTTTATTGATCCAGTTACTAACGGGCTATCTGCTTCTTATCGATTTCAACTAGTGTGTAGAGTACATTGATCACTGGACGAAGAAAATCTGTCCCACATGGTATGCAAATTACTCTGTTCAGAAAATGTCTGTATGTTGACGCTTTTGGATATCAGTGGTATCTTGCCAAGGCTGTAATTCGAATACCTATATATGTAATGTTTTTGTTTGTCCCCTGGTCACAACATATTCCACATATTTACACAAGCACCTTCCGTCTTTATTTCTATCCATTCGACCAACCAGGAATCGTCGTTCTGTCGCTTTGGCTGAGCTCTCAAGTTCATCTAATCCAGCTTTACCTGACCAGTATGCAAACACCCCCTTTCTAACTGATTCTCGACGTCGTCGTAGCTCACTGTTTGAGGATGCACATGATCGGTCTCGACTAAGTTCCAGTTCCAGCGCGGAAGGAATGAGTAAACATTCGGCCTCATCACCACGTTACATGTCAGTGCCACCACGGATGTTTAGTGGAGTGAATCCGTATTTTGAACGAGAAGGGTTCGGTCGCAGAAGTGTTTCCGAAAAGCGTCATGGACAAGTGGATGCCGCAAAGCTTCCATTCTTTCAGACTCAAATCCTCCCAAGTCGATACAAAATGCCCGAAGGTTTGTAATTGTTATTTGATTGCTGTACAGACCTTTAAAGTTTCTGTATATCTCTGTTTTGTTTCTCTGCCTTCATTCCCGTCGATGATGACGCAATAGAAGGTTGTCCTTATCCATCTCCTTTCAAATCACAAAGTCTGTCTGTTTTTTGTGTTCTAATCATAACCCCCTGCTTCAGTATGCCAGTGAAGTTAATTTGCTCGACACATGCATATTTCTAAATGCTCACTATGGCGCCATGTTGTGCTGCTTTCACATAGCAAGAGTGTTTGCCTCCCTATTTGGTATATCTATCATTTAACATGACACTCTTTGAATTTTACTACGAGCTTTGTAGCGATTTCAATTTCATGAACGGAGATAAACGTACTCTTACTCGTTCTGTGAATGTAAACGTTTGAGTTACCAGCACGTTGGCAGACAGATGGATGGATAAGCACCGTTCACATGGCACTCAGCACGAACCGAGTGTGTAATACCGAGTTCAAGTTGACCTCGTTTCTCGGTACAAACACTCCAGGGCTTCTGTTCTCTTCGAACTGTGAGAAGTGCAGAAAAGATCAGCTGATCACTTACTTCGCGTGTGCCCGTTTGTGTATTTAAATTTGTGTGAATCAGCTTGATCGTGTGTTTGCAAAAACCGATACGAACTGTATCAGGTAGAAAGGTCCATATTCGCATGTATACCAGAGAAAATTTTAACTTGCTGAAAGCTAATTCAATCCTGAGTATTTTGTGAACGGTCGGAACAAAAACCTTTATTTACTCTGAACATACTATGACCTTTGCAAAGTTACCTACCAATGAACGCGTCTCAAGTGTTCTACTTGCATCCACTCTACATATGTCGCCTGCTGTGAGCTACACAGTTATGCATCAGGTGAATATGTGAAAATAGACGGATGGCCAATGGGATACTCGTCGGATTGGGCTCATTTGAAAATGTTCTCCAACATGCTCCACTCCATATGTTCTGCATACTTTGATTGTTTAATGATCAGCTTTGTTTGTGATCAGTACATTGGTGGTGAATGAGCGTGCAGGGTGAATACCAATCAGGCTCTATACGGGGTGCTTTTCGTGGCGTCTCTGTTATTTTTTGAACCTTTTCTTTACATTTAACGGTTCAAACCAACTTGGATTTCATTTTCCTTCTTCGTTTCCGTATCACAGACGTTGATAAACAGTATTCCACTATGCCCACTACTCGTCGGCTAAAAATCCATCGAGAACGGATGGCCGCTCTGGCAGCGTCTAATGCCGGGATTGTACCTGGTGGACCGGTAAAAGCACTGCACCCGTCCGATTTGAGTAAACCGGCCGATCCGGGCGCCCAATGCATTTCCGATTGCTCCAATCGAGGTATGCTTATAAAATTCCCTTTCTCGCCCTGCGAAGCAGTAGCCACATGATAGACGGTCTCCTGACACGTTTCCAGTGTCACGCAATGTAGTATTTGTTGTATTGGTTATGTTACTTCGTTAAACATAATGCTCGATCATTTGTTGAATGGGGTTAATTTCTTTTTTATAAACTAATAAGATATTTACTTACTATATTTGATGATGTTTTAATCGCTGGTCATAGAGTAGTGGTGTTGGTGCAGTGGTTTAGTCACTGTCACCGACGTGCGTTGACCTATATCGTCCGAGGTTCTAACCCCATCAGTGATACCCAACTTCGGTGGTATGCAACTTTGCTGTCGTACAATTGAATCCCACGCCGTTAACTTTGTGGGGCCTTATGTGGATCACTTTTCCAAGTCCCAGAGCTTAGGTTGCCAGTTTCTATCACTGAACAGGAGGTCTTTGCGACTTATGGGTGCCACCCCGTCTGCTGTTCATCACACACAAATATGTGCAATAAAAAGTAAATTCCATCCCCTCATAAAGATCGACTACTTGAACATCCAAAATATCATTCAAGGTATACCTGGCAAATGCATTTAAGTTTTTCGGTACCGAAGTAGGCAAACGAGGAGAATGCCCTCCGCTTTTTAGATCACTAGTTCACCGATTTTCTCCATCAAATCTGTGCGTTGGAGACCAGTTGCTTTACAGTCTTTCGATCAATCACTTGATCTTCACCAAAAATTCCTCTTATCTGCAATCACGTATGGGTAGGGCTTCGTATTCCGTTCTTTCTCTTCTCGACC